ATTATTTTAAATAACTTTACAAACAGGTCAAATTTATTTGCAGATATTTAGAACCACGTCTAAACTCAAATTCAGTTTGGATCAATTTAATTAGTAACAAAACTCAATGGATAGTTGGATCCCAATTATTTGATCCAAATTATAATTCAATAAAATCAAAATCAGTTGTCATGATTATAACCTAACTTTTAAAATGTTAGAATGTTTTAAGTGACTGAATTGGCAGCAGTCCTTCCCTATGAGGTGTAATGATGTATGGCATTATAACTGGCACAAACAGGCTGATTTTCGTCCAAGCCTCTTTTAATGATATCCCAGCTGATTCAGTTCAGTGCTCAAACCTACTGCTCTTAAGAGCGAGTGCTTGATGTGCCATTATTGTATCATCCACATTGAATTTCCAGGAACAAGTTTGGAACCTTGTGTTGATTGGCTCATTTCTGTAGGCACAGGTGTTCAGGATGAGAAAAGAGTCAACAACTCACCAAAGACAGTTCTGGCAGGGACAGACTCTCTGTTGAGCCAGAAGGACACTTGGGAGAGGATCACTGTCATGATGCAGGGTAGATATGTCTGGATCACAAAGTAACCAATTTTCCTCTTCAGGTGGAAGTGGGTTGTCATCACAACATACTCTCCTGTTTTCAGCAACATAAAAGACAGCAAAAGTTACATTTTCCCTGCATTTATCTTGCACAATAAATTCAGAAAAGTAGGTTGGTGAAAAATTTAAAATGAATTTAAAAATCAGGCACATGGGACGTCTTTGTAATTCTAAAATATACCTGTGCTTGACTGCACCACGCCAGAATCCACACTCTGCCCCATCAGATCATACTGGTTTAACCTGGAGCCGTCCTCTGCCACCACTACAGACTGAGCAGCCCCTCTGGTCCACACGTACACCACCTCTGCCCTGGTATAGGCATCTAAGGAGTGAAAAAGTTATTTAGTTTCCTTCTGGTTGTTTTTTTTTTGTTTGTTTGTTAGTTTTAAAACTAAAGATATAATTTTATCTAACAATTTTCCATTAAAGCATCTAATGACATCCTGTCTATGTTATCACCCAACATCTTCTTATGTGAGATGTCACATTGTGCTGTGCCACAGCCTGTCATTCTTGTCTTATAACAAAATAAGAAAACAATGTCCCAACAGAGTAACGTGACCTTAAAGCAGCAAAGTCAGTCAGTTTTTCCCCCCCTTCTGGCCACCCAACCTGTCAAAGCTGCAGTGTGGCTCGGCCACTGCAGAGGAAAAGATGGCTCAGCTGCAGACTGCAGAGCGAGGAAGAGAGCTCATCACTAAAATATTTAGCAAGTGAGTTCAGTTTAAAGGCATTTAAGGCTTGGTACTCTCGCACATGCTGTGTAGCTGGAATTGCAAAGAGGTAGCATGGCTCACGTCTCTGTTGCTGTACTGTCCTCATGGTGTTTTTATTATTTTTTTCTTGCCTCCCAACACTCATTTACCGTATCATACTTTCTTATGAATGGGTTCTATTATTTTTCCATTACATATTTTTATAATTTTCCATTTCTAAGTCCAGTCTATTTGAATCTGTGCTTATTAAAGAAAGATGCAGGGCAGTTTGAGCTGTCAGCGGTGAGCAGCTGGTGTGATGCTCTGGTAGTATTACAGAAGGTACTGCAGGCTGCATGCCTGCAAGAGTCTTGGAAGGTCTATAAAGGTTGAACACTGCCTTTCCTTTATATGGAGGCAGTGGCACATCAAGCAACACACATATTTAAGTGTGTGTGGGGGATGAGAGGAGATGTGGATCTGGTATGTTCATTAAATGTAGAATTGCATTCGGCTGCAGAAGCTACTTACAGCTGCCAAATTTCAGGGGACAAGCATGGGCGTCCATAGGGAAGTCTTCCAGATGCATAGGGCATTCTGCTCTCACTGTAAGCCTTGAAAAAAGCATTTAGATCATAGAGTGAATTCAAAGATATAATGGCGGATAGAATAAAGAAACAAAAGCCTTTAAAATGAAGACATGGTGAAGTGTTACAGCCAAACAGCAGCTAGGAATGTGTTGCAACATACAAATATTTTTTTACTATATCAGCACTGAGTGAGTACTCAAGCTGAACACTATTCCCCCCAAACAGAAATGTTCCAGTTCCATGAGCTTTGAGCTTGTGTTTACTTATGGCTTGGTGGAAAAACAGCGTGTCAGACCACCCGTGACACACTAATCTCCCATCTAACCCTCATCTCAGTCATCTGTGACACCAATACAGGCTCTGCCTCTTCCCTCTCCTCCCCCTTATTAACATGTTGAAGCAAATGTTATACCGTACTGTCTTACATTAACACAAGTCAGTGGTGTGCATTAGGTTCTGTGCTGTCATAAGGGTTTCCTCAGCTCTCTTTTTCTAAAGAATGGTGCTAAGATGCCAATACAAGCTCTGATTTCAGATCTAGTCTTCTGGCTTACACATGTTTCATTGCAAAAAACAAACTTAAGATTTATCATAAATTCAGGATTTGCAAATTGACCAGTTTTACACAAAAACAAACAGTTTTCAGTGTACAGAATATAAGTATTCTACCTAAAATAATCTACTTTGGCAATCTACCATTTGCTTTTACAGCAGCTGATAAATTATGTCTGTTTCCAATAAAATCTCATTTTCAACAAACACAATAGATATTAACCTTAAAGATTCTTTGTGAAAGCAGTGGGTCAGATCAGCCTACCTCATGGTATAAAGCAGTGTGCCTTCCTCTGTAATTCGTAGAAGCTTGTTCGGCATGGTCATGTTGTGGGCCACTGACTTCTTGCCATTGTGGAAGAAAGTATCCGGGGTCCAGATTTTGCTGGCCATAAGGTTGTTGAGACGCAACACGGCCATGGGCCCTTTGAACTTTAACCTTTCATCTTTCCAGCTCTGTCTGAAAAAGACATCAATGGTGTACTCCTGCGAGTGAATGGTGAGTAAGAGAGAGACGAAACACAAAGTGAACAAAAGTGCATACTTGCGGTTCTGGAGAACTCTTCTATCTGACTTCACCTATAGCTGACAGCTGAAAATGTTGAGTCATGTAACCTTACTATGGCAAACATAGGGAGGATTTAGCAGAGACAGAGAGGTTTATACAGTAGTTTTATGGCTGGTGTGTTTTCAAAAATTAATGCCTCAGCTGTTACAAGTCATTGTTCTACTCCTGCTGCTGTAATATGTGTGGTTATCTTTCCATTCCTTCAATTTTTTTGTTTGCAAAGCCATTGTCAGGATAGTTAATTGCAAATGCATGCATACATGGGATATATATATTTTAATCCAGCTATTTACAATTACATTGTTTGGTAAATACAAAAATTACTCTTTGCATTTATCCTAAGGTAATATTTTTCCCTGAGTAATATAAATTGCACTCATCACAAAAACGAGACACTGGACACAAAATTAGAAGGACACTTCATTTCTAAGCCAGGTAATGACTACAGCTGAGAGATTTTAATGGTTCCACATGACCGTCCACTAGAATAAGAAAATAATTCACAGCCTGTTTTCTGTGCTGTTTCTCCTTCTTTCACTCTAGCTCTTATAAGATAATTAGTGTGAACTGAAACGGAGCTTCAAGGTAACAGAGAAGGGTATGGAAAGGCTACAGATGGAAAAAATCTTCTTTTTTCTTGTCGTAACACAACAGTAAAATACTCCTGGTCTGCATGTCAGCCTGTACAATCAAATCAAATCAAATAATTTGATTTGATTTGATGTCAAATCAAATGGGACATAATCCCATCTGATTGACATAATCAAATGGGATTATGTCAAATCAAGTTCACACATTCCTGTACATAAAAAAATGTGCAAATACTTTGAATGAGACTTATTAGTTTCCAGTCTATGATGCAAAGTTCACGACAGTTTTATTTGAAAACATTCTAAAGATTTAACTGTTGAAACATAAGATATTTTACCTTCAATATTAGGTGATAACAAAACAAACAGTCATATTCAATGGATCAGAAATGTCTTGAAAGGTTTATTTCATTAACTCAATTCACTAAATAAAACAAATTATGCAGCTTAATTATGCAGACTGATTTATTCAAGCCTTTATTTCTGTCAATTATGATGATGTTGGGTTTACAGCTAGATTAAATTATACATCAGTCTAATAAAACTATATATTTTTTTAATTAAAAAATATGCACAAAATGAAAAGTATGTTTGCTAAAAGGATGTTATTTTCAAAATGTACTTTTAATGTGACAAACACATTATTCTAATTTAGAGATAACACTTAAATGACTGCTTTGAAAAGTGTTGTAATTAGCAGCCTCTGGCTGCAAAGGTGTACCAGTTTATTCTATAAACTAGTTTTCCACTTAGAGAAAGTCCAGAAATGTAAACCAAATAACTGAAAGAATTAACTTTTTCTCCCTGCAACTGAATAAGCAGCACTTGAGAAGAGAGACATTATCTATAAATGGTCATTACAAGTGACAGCTGTAACAAAACATCATAAGTGAACAAATGAATCAAACTTCCTATCAGTGAATATTTTCCAGTCTACAAAGAACTGTGACTTGAGAGATGAGAAAACAGGTGTGAGGGTTTAAGGAAGGGCACAGGGAAAAGAAGTGACATTTACAGAGGTGGAACGAGCCTTACCATGTCATGGTCCGAAACTGGTCCAATACTAGTCACAAAAATGTCAGTCTTGACTTCAGTTACACGCTCTGTTGAAGCAGGAAATTGTCAGAGTGAGTGTCTATCAGTGGCATTCATTACATCTAAACTGCCTGTTAATACAATGCCACCTGGCTACACTCTCTTATCTGTTCACACTTGTCAGCAAAATTTTTAGCATACTCAATTGCACAACAAATATACAATTAAAATTAAACATATACCACATTGTCATGGCAAATATATCTAACCACTACAGAGAACTTTAGCCTTGAATTGTGGTACTAATTTCTGTTTTTATTGGTCTGGTCTCAGCATCAGCTCTGTTGCTGCCTGAGCAGACGTTAGGTCCCTTAATGACATCGTGTATGGTGGAAAACATGCCACTCTCCTCCGATAATGTTGATAGCCAGCTTAGGATCAGTAGGAGGGGAATTCATTTAAAGAGGCTGGCAAAGAAGATGTTTGTGAACGTGTCTTCACATATTTGTGTGTATGTGTTTGACAGAGCTAACTCCATGTGACTGTCAAATTGAAATGTGACAGTGTGATTTGTAAATGATGCCTGTTGTGATTCATAATTTCTTCCCCCAGACAACTTTTTTTTTCCATTGTGTTTGATGCCTACTACTTCATATCACTTTATATTGTATGCTCTTGCTATTTTTGCTTTATTTCTTCATTATTCTCCCTCATGTTCTTTTTCAAACTCCCAGCATTCCTGCCATGTTGCTTCTCTCTAACAATGTGTGGTTGACAACACGTGGAATAAAGCCAACAGTAAACGATGACAGTGTCGGGTTGATAGTGTAAGTCTGGACTTGATGAAAATTTCAGAAAAGCAGCAGCCAAATAATGAGACTCTGGTATTTTTTCTTGCTAAAGGTAACAAAAGTCTGGTACTGACAGCGAGTCCACATCCACATTATTCAGTCACATGGTTATTATTCAGTGTTTTCATGAGGATAATAAAACTGTTTCAAGGATGACAATTGCATATTTAAAAATAATGGATTTTTTATGAGCAACAGAATTTATTCAATGACTTGGCTGTACTGACCTCCGAGTCCTGGCCTGAGGCGATTGTCATAGCCATCTAGAAGGCTGTCTAAGATTTTGGTGAACACTGTGGTGTTATCTTTCTGCTCGTCTGTCATGCCATTCTGCCCAGAGCTGCCAAAGCAAAGAACAAGATTTAAAGTTGCAGCTAAAGTCAAAAACCTACACCAAAACTGCTGGCAGAAAAACAAACAGGAAAACTCTTCATCTGAATCATATATCATATATCAAAGACAAAAAGATTTCATTTTAACTGTGGAGTACACCAAGGGGAATTCTGCTGGCATGCACAATGAACCATGAGTCACAATATGAAAACATATTCAGTAAACTGGCCATGCTTACTATGACACTAAATAATATCCCTGTTAACGTTCATCCCACATGTATAACCATGAAATCAGATAATTTCATCATTCGTTAGAGGAAATACTTGTTCTTTAAAACGGACTACTGATGCATTGAAGTCACAAGTGATATTTTAAATACCTGAACACAATAATAAAAGGGGCAAGGGATATAATGCAAAATCAACTTTTTGAAATGTATATTTTGTTATAATGTTTTTCTCTCATCAAAAACATATCCAGAGTGTTGCTTTGATTTATTCACACATGGCAACTCTTCAGGGTACCTAAATATTTGTTCATAAAATGCACCATCTATTTACCCAAAGCTCATCCTAGGAGTTTGAGTCCCCAGCCACACATCCGCCCTGCCATGCACCCCACACCTTCCCCTCTCAGCTTCAACAGACTAGCAGCAGTTAGCAAACACCTGGTGGAAACGCTGAGCTTATCATATAAACTACATGTCAGAATGGCTGTAAATGTGATGAAGTGCTGAAGCAGGAGTGTTGAAGAGTGTTAAAGACAAACAGCTTCTTGAAGAGACACAGGTCATTTTCAAAGCTTCGAGCTTCTTTTAAGTTATTTTTGATATAATACAGACTTTTCAAAACAACTGAAGGTAACATAGTTACATGATTGTGCTATAGAATTGCACTATGTGCCTTGAAAATAAACATCTCCCTTTAAGCCCTACATTACTAAAATTATAAATACATTTTACAATTTTAAAATGTAAATAATAAAATGGACATTTTACAATTGTTCACACTTCTATCCTTGATTTCAGACAGCTTCTGAATAGAACTGAGAAGGAGATTATTTGCTTTGCACATCATCAGTGCAGAAGTACTAATAAATCCCACAATTTTATTACATAAAATGTAATTATTTTATTAGCAGGAACAGAGTAATCACAAAGTTCTCATGTTGTCCTGTAATACATTTAACACTGTATCATGCACTATTTAACCAGAAAAGCTGTGACATGAGCACCATAGCATTCAAACATGATGCTCACTGCACATGTGTGCAGCTGCTACAGAACTGATGCAATTAGGATTCAGATATCACAGCAGCCATCCAGTAAGAGCGAAACTTAATCTGATGGTATACAATGCAGCTTCCCTCAAATCCGGATGCTGAATCCTTGAAACTTAGAGGGAAACTTTAATCTCCACATGCTGTCTGATTAATTAAACAAATAATCACCTGATCACTTAAGGGATTCCTACAGCATTGACATTTTATTCCTAGGTGGTCAGTGAATCATTTAAGTATGAAAAAAAAAGATGGTGACATTATAGAAAAATAATTGCCATGTCCTGAAGCAGCACATATCTGAGAACTCCACACTCTTAATCCCAATATACACACACTATTCAGAGTGGAGAACATAAATATATATACCAACACACACATTTCAATTAAAAGAAAACAACAGATATTCAGCTTTCTTCTGTTCCTTTAAACCAAGGTAGGATTAATTGTGTATATATTGTGTGTATGTATATATATATTACATGTCGTACAATCTAACCTTAGCACAGAGCCTTACTGTACACAACAAGTAATCATAACTAAATCAGATTCAAGATAATTTTCCAATAACGTATTATTCCTTTGATACCAAATCTCTTCAGCTTTTTACTCAGCAATCTATAGTCCATAGCGACATGCTATTGATGAGAATACCTACTTGCTAAATACCTAAGCAAGTAAGTTTGCTTAGGTATTTAGTATTTCTGTATTTTTTATATTAAGCATGTTAGTTTGTTTCATTTTTCAAAGGATGTGAAACTGTTTAAAGGGGCAATAAATAGGAAGAATAATGACAGAGTGAAAAAAAGAGAAATCAGAATACATTATTTATACTTTAATATGGTCTTTCAAATGAAAAACACATCACTGAATGTGCTCTTTGAACTACATGAAACAAAATGCTAAGAGCAATGCTGAAAACGCTCATGATCCCTAATTGTGAGAGCAGGGCTTGAATCTCCCCACATAAATATTTTACCGTTCTCCTAATCAGGGAACCAACCTCTAATTACATAGTGCACCAAAAAGCCAGGATATGACATGGCTGAGAGAGCATGAGCATAAAGTGTGTTAAAACACATGGACCAATGCATGCACATAACCATATGCTCCCAGATATTCGCATGTGAACCAACAGTCATTTTCAACAGTATATTGTATCTGTAATTTTTTTCCTATTTAACAAGCCAGTGGGATTCTGCTTTGATTACTTATGAAATAAACAGCATGTGTTTGAAGAAAGCCTCTACTAGCTGAACATCTCCAAGGAGAAGTGGAGGTCATCAAGATTAGTTAGTAGAGACCCGCAGCTGGAAGGAAGGAAGAGTGTAAAACGCGACACAGCAGCATGCAGAGAATCATGACAATTAGTCTATAGGAAAACAAAGAAGAGCAAAGATTAAGATAACAGAGACAGAAGAGAAGCAGCTGGGGGAAAAACATTGGGAAAGGTATCAGTTCTGAATTGAATGTATCTGTTCGAAAAGAGAAGCTCATAAGATGCAGGATTAACGTTATGAGCTTTCAAAATGAAATATATATCGTGTGGATTTTAAAGAAAAGGTTCATTCACATATTTCTCTTCGCCCCCAATTATCCCTCTGTCAGTGGAAATTATAAAGTAAAGAAAGAAAATCAAATGAAAGTTGTGATGAGCAACTATGGTCTGTCAGCTCTGAAGCCATCTGCCTTAAATCACTCAAAATTCAAATATTTATTATCCTGTTTAAGGTCTGGGATAATAATTATGTCTAAAAACACACAATATGAACTGCAGCTTTGGGATGCACTGCAAAACTAAAATTAAACACAATGTTCTAATGCCCCACCACACTGATGTGATTTAAAATGGCCAAAACTGAGACATACAAAACATGATTTAAAGGGTTGATCCTCATATTCCAAGTTATCATTACAGAAAAGATCTAAATAAGGTAGAAAAAATATATTGGTAAGAAATATCTTAAGATTAGTCAGATTGGACAAGGAGCTTCAGTGGACAAAAATGTTCAAGTCTTACCACAGAGTCTTAGGTTTCAACCTGACCGGGACATTTTCACATGCAAATGTTCTTTGACTTAAATCATGTCACTGTAGCTCCGGCTGTGTTTTTAGGGTTGCTGAATGATGGACTTCCACCACATTCTTAAGTCTGTTTCAGCCTCTGACAGGTTTTCTTTAATTTTTCCCTGTATTTAACTCGTCCTACCAACACTGCAACAGAAAAGCATCTCCACAGCATAATGCTGCCACCATGATGCTTTGCAGTGGCAGAAAGGGTGGTAGTCCTTGGTCAAGATAGAAGAGACACAAATGGATTCTTCTTGTTTTTCATGTGACTCCAACAGGCATTTAATTTCACTAGATTTTGTATATTTAATTAGCATTTTTCAAATTATCTGAAGAAAATTTGTAATTTAGTTTCCACATGTGTTGCTTTTCACATACATTCCATTCAAATACGTTTCTGGCTGCAGTGTGACAAAATGTGAAAATATATGCATATCTTTGTAAGGCAGTAAACACTGATTAATTAATTTTTTAATGACAATGGCCACGATTCAAAATACTGGTTTGTCAAATGGCAAATTTTCAAAATTAAACGATTTTTTAAACATTTTTTCTTTTTTTTTTTAGCAATAATCACACATACGGTTTCTAAATATAAGGTGGAAATTTGCATCTTTTACAAGTATAGGGAGATAGTATGCTTTGAAAGATAAACATCTTTATTAGTTAGAGGCTTCCTCTCACCAACCACTGTACACCATCCCCATCTACAGGTCATCTGAACAGCAACAGTGCTATTCACACTTTCACTGCCAGTCTCTCTCTGTCCATTTTACTCACTGTTTCTTTCACTTTCCTGTCAGCCAGAAATCTAATTATGAGACATTTTCTTTGGTAGCCAGATACCGTAGCAAAGCTCTTGGTCTGCTCAATTATCACATCTTGCCAAAATCCCCAAAGGTGTATTCGCAAGTCTGTGATTCTACGTCTGACTCCGAAAACGGGGGACTGGCTTTTACAGAAAATCTTTGGGGTGATAATTGCTTTGCAGTTTCTGTGTTGTCACTATGCAGCACTTGAATGCTAGAATATCTTCTCTAAAGCAGACAAGATCATCCATTTCTAGCCATTACATTTCAAAGAACGCAGTACCTGTAATTAGTAGGTAAGATTATATCTGTATATAAAAATGAGATACTACAGTGCTCTAGAACGTTAAAGTATTAAAAGTGTCTTCATAATCAGCTTGGCGGTTCAAGCTAAAACCTATATCACATACAGAATTAACTTTTTGTGGTATAGCTGCTGAGCAAAGCCAGCTGGTGATAAGTGGTGAGATCAACGTTTCATCATTTAGGTTCTACTGTTTGATTCAGCTGTGAGGAAATTCCTGATCTGTTATTTTGCAAAAGATTTCTCTTGGAGAACCAAAAAGGAAGAAAGCTTGAATATCCTCACATACTTAAAAAGGTTGCTGAATTTGACTTTTAGCGTTGTTTTCTTATGTTCATGGGAATGTTAAGTGATTTTCTCATCAAAATTGTCCACATTTGTACAATGAGCATTTTTAAATCTGCAGGAAAATGAATGTCCGCTTAGGCTTAGAATTGTGTAGAAATTAAAGCAGTTGCAGCCTCATCACGGCGGATCTCACCCCTGTCATTTATAATCCAATTCTCTCTCTCTTTCTCTCTTTTTTGTCTGTTTAGGTAGCTGACAGCTAGCAGTTCCATGTTGGCACTGAGATGGAGAGTCTGTACATTGACTCTGCTATCCCTGCAGCTGCTGTCAAAACAAATGTGCAGTAATCTATGGCAAACATCTCAGTGCAATGCGGAACATCTACCCTACGTATAGCCCAGGTCTGAAAACTGACAGAGTGGATGTTGTCCCACGCAGCCAGTCAACTAAAAGAAAAAGGTGCAATTCAACAGTAAAGTGTCTATTTTTTGCTCATCATATCTTGTCCCTGTGTTGCACTTCTTATTACCTTGGCAATAATAAGCATGCAGGTGTCCTGTGAGTGTGCCCTAGTTACAAGCATAGTGATTAAATTCTGTAAAAACAAGCACTGAGGTGGATAGTAGAGTATAAAACTGCCAGATGAATCACTGTTGGCAGTTTTAGACATTTAGGAGGCACACTTTGAGCAAAAATTGACTTCTCCATTTAAATGTAACTGAAAATACCTTCCACAGTATCTCTACTTGATAATACAGAACAAGCTGGGTTAACCAGAAAAACAAATTAATAATGCATGCACCATTTAGACACTAAATTGTAATCCAGAATGCATTTCCCTTCACATTTAGGGCATTTCAGCAATGTGCAGATGAACATGCATGTTTCTGTTCACACTGATAGATCAGGTGTAATCAGGTGCAGTTATATATTAAAATATTTTCTCACCTTTTCCCAGTCAGTACGCTGCTTGTGACCAGTAAATAACTCCACACAAACAGAGAGGCCACCCTGCTCCGTCCACACATAGTTGAAATATGAGGACCTTTCACTGGTGGAGATTAAAGAAAGATAAAATGAACATCATCGCCTTGTCACATGGAGCCTGTAAACCATTACCTCCAACCAATGTGCCATCACATAAAAGTGTCAACAAATTAGCAAGCATAGACAGAGAAGGTCACTTTGCTCCTTTTGATTCCGAATCAAACATTTATGTCTAGATTCAATCACAACAAATGTATCAAGTCCAAAATGTTCAAATATGATTCACACAAACATCAAGTATTTTGCACCATTATCTTTAATCGCATGTCATACTGACTGTGCCCCTGACTATCAGACGGACCAGATCCAACAGATGCTCCTCTGGCTGCATTCATAGCGCAGAATAATTAAGAGGAAATAACAAGGAAACACACCATCGACCACATATACACCCCGTGTGAGGCTGGAGCACCTGTGAACAGCCTCCTCTAGTAATACTCTGCAATGTGAAGCGTAGGCATTAAAACGGGCATCCAACCAAATTCCTCTTCTTTAAGGGAAAAGAACATGTCATTCCTCCCTTAACATTTAAGCGTGATGTCAGTCAGTCTACAAAGTATAGTCAAGCGACACCCTGCGCTTTAATATGCATGCAAATTCAGAATCCATTTTGGAAAGCGCAATCAGTGTGTCCACGAGAGGGCCAGCTGCTTATTTATAGAAAAAAAGGGTAAGAAATTCACCGAAATTTGCAATGACAGACACACAGACAACACTTGCTTGTGTTGCTTCAAGGTGTGCTACGAGTGGGTGGTGGCCACATACTCTGTTAAAATGTAATACAAATAAAATAAAATAAAATGAAGCTTATCGGATTTAGTGGGGAAAAAACCCGCACAAGCACACAAGCGCACTTTTTAAGTTATTCAGAAGGGGAGGAATGTCACCCTGTACAAACATTCAACATTTGAGTAAACATAAGCACAGTGGAGATTTTGCATGCAACTGACATCCCCTGCAAGGCTTGTCTAAATACAGGCATGACGATCCGTGCGTGGCGGAGTAATTAACTGAATGCGCGTTGGTGCTGTTTTATTTGGAGAGCGCTGTCCGCGGTGCTGAAACCAGGCAGCATCCCCGTTAAAGCATCAAGCCGCTCCTGCGTGCCATAAAAAAAAAACTCCCCCCTAAACGGTGCTAATTTCAGCGGCAAACTGATCCATCCCTCTCAATAAAACTCATCTTCGATTGTTGCGCTGTTCACCGATAAGAAAAACCAGCCCGCTTCATCTCTTTAGCTCAATACAAATATTAGAATCTTAAGAATATCACTTACAGCAGATGAATCCGGGTGCATTTGATGTCCACTGACTATATCCTGAAACTTTTTGCAAATATCTATTTTTTTTCTAGCCGGGCGGAATGTGAAAAATTTCCTCTGTGATCTCAGATCTGACGAATTTTAGCTTGAGGCTGGAGAAGCGGCTGCTGACGATATGCGCAGGTCTCTCTCACTGTTCATTGGTGGTTGTGTAGTGAGTTCAACTCTCAGTCTGTCGGCAACAGAAATGTTTCACCAAACTAGCATATCTAGTCTAATGAACGCTGAATGGTTGAATGCACTGATTGCGCTTCCCAAAACGAAGCCGAACAGAATATCCCCATGTCCAAAGGCAGACAATTTCATTTTAGAATATACCGTGCCAATGTAACATAATGACAAGCCCGCCCATTTTATATGCAGCACAATTTAACTTCCATTGCTGTCCTCCTAATCTATTTCCAGCGGATGTTGGATAGAAAAATCCTCTTACATTTTCAGCTAGATTATCACTCTGTCTCCCTGACTCGTACGTGATGATTTGCAACGAGATACAATTCTACCAAAACACCGTCTAAGACAGCAAATGGACTCTTCAGGGAAATGAACAGCCTTTTATCAGCACATACTTACACTGACGCCAAAATAACACTTTAACCGAAGCGGGTTGCCATTTGGATAGGCGCGCACAAGCTTGGAAAAATAATCACCTCCAGAATTTTTAGGAAAACATATCCCCCGCTTTCACCCTGGTTTACACCAGTGCAAGAGGATGTTCTTCTATTATCTGCAACAACAATAAAAAAATCTCCAAGCAGATCACTCACCGTCTCCTAAAAGCCCACGTTTCGCATCTAGACAACTGCTGGTGTCTCTGTTATAAACCAAATATTCTGCTGCTACAGCCGCGCCGATTCAGACTGAGCCAGAGCACGACGAGCGGCGCTGAGCTGCGTGCATCTGCAAGAGAGAGGGGGAGAAAAAAAAGAAAAAAAAAAAAAGAAAAACTGGGCTTATGATTCGTGGCGTATATTTCTGTAGGCATCGGCGCTTTTCTAAGTTGAGACTACAAATCAGGAGACATTTGCTTCAGCAATGACCGAAACAGAAACACAAACGAGGTGGACAGTGATGTTATTATTGGCAATTTATACAATTTCATTGTAATTTGGGAAAGCTTATGTTTTCCATAAATCCAAGCTGTTGAGGAAGGAACGGCTCTTTTTTGCCCCTAGTTTTGGCGGAGGGTTTATTTTCATGGGAGCAGGCAGAGTGAGCTAGCAGTGGAGTCACGTCAGTCTAGTCTGCAGTGCAACGTTTCCTCTGAGAGCGTGTGCGCTGCCTGCTCACGCGTGGTTCAAGTAATACATGTGCGTGATTAGTTATGAGGGACGTCACAGGTCTGCGCGCCCGTATTTTCTAGATTCAATAAGTTCTATCTATCTATCTATCTATCTATCTATCTATCTATCTATCTATCTATCTATCTATCTATCTATCTATCTATCTATCTATCTATCATGCATCCACTTTATCGCAGTCTGCTCACTCTTAACCTGCTGCAGGTGAATGTGTATATTTAGGTAACAATGAATCCTTTCCATCCGGCTGTTTCCGTAGAATTAATGCCACTGTAATACAAGTGGAGCATCGTTTCAAGCTGCATCTCCTGGCCCCTCAAAGCTCAGTCTCCAACCGCTGCATGTGACTCGGTTTTGCCCGTGCGCGCGCGTGCGTGCACGTGCGGGCGCGCACAGCCAACACGTGCCGCGGCGTGCTCGTGGAGAAGTGGAGACTCTTGCTTCGAAGAGAGGAGCAACAGCAGACAGCTTCTCTGAGACGCCGCGAGAGAATATCCAGCGACAGCGTTTTTAAAAACACATGCCTTCCCACAGCTCTATCTCTGGGCAGGTGATCGTGAGGGATATTGCGTGTGTGTGCGCGCGTGTACGTGCGTTTGTATGCGCGTGTGTGCAGGGCTAAGCAGGAGAGAGATGGATGACTGTAATTTAGGTGAGAGATGCGAAGTTTATGGTCAAATAATCACTCGCAGGGAAGAGTTCCTTTGAATTTTGAAGGAAGGTATATTGACTAAAAACGCCCCCTTGCCTATACTTGTTCAGCCATTATTGGTGTGTATGTGTTGATAATTAATTTGATTTATTCACTGTGGGAAATCGGTTACAAAAAGGAGTGTACTAAATGTTTTAATCATTACCATACTAGCAGATATTATTAAACTTGAGGAAAGCTTTTGTAATTTAACATATATATCCAAAACGATCCTGTATTGTGTATTGCTAATTTAGGTTTTTGAAAGTATTTTGTACTATTACACATGATGCAATCTTCCATATGTGCATTATGTTTTTGTTCATTAGAATTGTTTTGTGTAAAAAAAAAAAAAAGGTAGTGTCCAACAATTTGTAACATTTCCTGGACAGTCCTGTGGATTAGCGGGCCGAGTCTTATATCACCAGGTCAGCTTGTTTTCAGACATGATACCATTTCTTCACCATAACCTTTTCCCACTCACCTTACCAAACGACTGTTCCACAATGAAATGATCCTAACACCTCCGCACTTGACTGCTTTTCCATCAGACAGAATTATATGCATTGCAGCACATTGAGCCTTAAAATGCTTAAATTCACTTCTTTGCAAAAATATCCCGGTCCTTTGCAGCTTTTCCATATTTTTACAACCAGAAACTTAAATACATCACATTAGAGTTTATGTGATAGGTCAAAACAGTGCACGATTATGAAGTGTACGGAAAAGGCTACACAGTTTGCAAACAGTGTACAAATAAATATATTAAAATAGTTGGATACATATTCAACCACCTTTGTTCTCACGTATATAAATGAAACTCACTGCAACCAATGACCTTCAGAGGTCACCTTATGTGTAAATGGAGTCCACTTGTGTCTCTGCTGCTTGGTGGAGCCCTCATAGAGTCTACTGGGGAACTTTAGTGAATAAACACTATTAGAGACCTAGAAACACACCAGATAGATCAGCGATGAAATTGTTCAAAGCTTTAAAGCAGGGTTAGCTTACACAACAGTTTTCAAAGTTGTGAATATCTCACATATCTCACAGAGAAGTGTTCAATAATTCATCTAAAATGGACAGAGTATAGTGCAACAATGGAACCTCCAGAGGAGCTACAGAAATTCACAGCTCAGGTGGAACAATCTGTTAGCAATGCTATTAGTTACACACTCCACAAATATGGCCTTTATTAAAAGAGTGGCAAAAAAAACCCTTATCAGTAAAAGACCGAAGAGAATAATATGCAAGTAACCCTGAGCACTCTATCCAAACTGTGAAACAGGCCATGATGTGCAGATATTTTTTACAGAGACAGGTCAAAGATGAACGGAAGCTGGATATGGGTAAACAACATGCAATTAAAAAAAAAAAAAAACTGGTAAATGTAGAGGCTGCAAAAGGTTTTGGACTGGCATAAAGGACAACATGCAGGACAGCAGCCCTAAACAAACAGTCAGACCTAGAGTGGAGTGATTCATATCAGTACTTATTCGCATGTTAAAATGGCTCTGTCAGAGTCCAACCCTGAAAGAAGCTTGAAGTTGCAACATGAATTAGTATCAATACTTTTTCAAGACATTGTGAACAATGACTGACGATAAGTTGAGATTAGAGGTTCATGCCATGTCCTGTAAACAGTCCACTAATGTCAAAATATGCTAAAGGTTTTGGACTGGCATAGAGGACAACATGCTAATGTGAAAATATGCATTAAGATTTCTTGTCTATGTCCTTGTCTGTCTTTTCATTCTTTCTTTCTATTAATAAGTTTCTGTTCTACTTTAACTGTCTTTTCTGTTATTTCGGTAGTAGCAGCACCACACACCTCCAGCTGCACCTAACTGAGTGCTCAGCAGGTCATAAAGAGTGATAAACACAAGTGGTGTACTTCAGTTCAATTACTGCAGCAAAGCTTAATTTGCTTTCACCCGTTTTAACTCTTTGTCTAAATTTCAATGTGTCATGGGGTTGTAACACTGCTGTTGCTCTGTGACTTGAACTTGCTTAGGTGGATTTAATTTTTATCCTAATGGTTTATGTTTCATCCTCTTAAATAACCTCAATCAATCAAACTGTTGCTGCCCACAGAACTAAAGAAAGAAAAATGAATGAACAAAACACTAGAGTCAGCCAGAGTTGTCAGAAGTTAATGGAGTTACATTGCTGTACACCTGTCCTTCCACAGTTTTACTACTGCACACAAAACTACTGTGACGGCAGTTGGTAGCTGCCATCCAGCAGGGAATTAGGAGTGACTTGCCTCAATCAGTCGTCTTGAAGAATAAATCAGGCTTCTACAGGAGACAAAAGCAGGCCCCCCTCTGAGCTGCTCACTGCAATCAGCAGAAGTTGCCATGTTCTCTGACTCACCATTCGAGGTCAAGTCCAGTGTGACGCATGCAAAGGTACGTACACACACATACACTCAACTTCCAAAATATATCACATGATACATTTAAGTGTATGTTCTGGCAAAACCTATACTTAAACAACATACAACATTGAATCTAATTTTAGAAGCATGGAGTGAATTAGCCTGACCATTGCCTCGTTGTGCAATTGTGCTTGAATAAAATTCCGGCATCTAGCACAGTCTGGACTTTCTCCCCTGGACTTGAATTGTGTCTGGTAGATATTTTTTTTCTGGGAAAATCAGTGAACAAAAGGAGAAGTTGTGAACAATGATGCCAATTTTCTGCGCTGTTTTAAAATTATAGTTTGCCTGTAGTTTTAGCAAAGGCAGCAGAGGAAGTGAACGAAGGCATTCGGTCTTTGTTGACCAAATTTACAAATATTGAATCAACATTAATAGCCTCCTTCTTCTGATCGGCACTTCTCTCTTCGCAGTGAGGATGGTTGTTTACAGCGCAGGGTTTTTCTAGTAACTTTCATAGCATCGAAATGGTGCATCACATATGTCATGGCCAAACAATAGCAATTAGTTAAAAATTAAAACCTCAACAAAAATTTGTCACAGTGTATATTAGTTTCTTTCAAAAATTCTGTACATTGATTGAGAGACTACGCCCCAATGGAGCCACACTTTTATGTTGCAGGTACTAAAATATTTTCTGCTTTTTGAAGTACCAAGATTACAGACTAATATTGTAGGTCTATATGACTGACACAGGATATTTATTTATAATACTGTTGAAAGAAATCAGGGCACAAGAGTTAACATTAGTTACCATGGTCACTAAAAATGAAATGAGCTGATATTGTTGGGAATAACGACAACTGTTATAAAACTTTTAACAGACATGACTGGGATTTTTCAGACATCATTGTGACAGTAGATCAAGGTTGGATTGACTGTGCCTTCAAATGATGAAATTAAGAACCAGTTATTAAGATGAAGTGCTTTTGCAGCCACCTAAGATTGCAAAAGTATACTGGAGGGCTGGTGTGCATGACTGCAAGTCCTTTTTGAAGAATAGTGCTTGTCCTACATTCCCTTGGAGTACTTTGACTAATGTGCTTGTGGTTGCATGGTTCATAATCTTGCACTGTACAAGGGTAAATTCTTTTCAAAATGTTCTTGTGACTCTTCTCAGACAAGTGGGAAGACTTTTCATTCACTAAATGTCTTGCTTTTTTGTTTTTGGCGTTAGGTTTATGCTGACCTGATTACTTCAGTCAAGTGAAGTGCTAATATTTCAGGCTTTTGGATTCTCTCCTAGTCAATGCATTTTATTAGCAGCATATCATCACAAGAAATCCTTCATTTCTTGTGAATATATTAGTGTACAGTTTTAATCAAACTAATGTACATCTACATATGGTGAGGTAGTCAATATATCTTTTGTTATTCAGAATTTTCATCAGGTTTAACTTTAGCAGCAGAGATTTTCTGACACTATATATATAACTATCCTAAGCTGTCCACTTCTGAGAAGGTTGGTATTTGTCTGAAATTAATTATAATCTTTTGAATAATCTTTTTCATTATAAAAAGAGAAGTTACATTTTCAGATTTGTTTTAACACTAGAGCAAAGGTTATCAATGGCCACACAATAAAATCATTTCCTCTTTGCCATTATGTTTTTTAAATATCTAAATAATCCAAATTTAAAATCTTCCAATTTGCTTGTAAACAAGTGTGCAAACCGGTAGCTCTTTTCTTACTTAATGTGCTTTCTTTAGAGCACATGGTGGCTCCCCAGTCTTGCATTTATAAGTACCTGGACTGAACACTGTAAAAATATCTC